CTCCTGGCTTGAGGGGTGGAGACCTGGGATGTAGGGGTGAGCAGGGAGGGCAGGCTTTCTCCTGAGCTCTTGCCCACCCATGGGGTCCTCCTGGGCTGCACTGACCTGTAGAGACAAAAGACACAGAAAGGAGAAGGGGTCCAGACACAGGTGGAGCCCTTCAGGAGGGGCTGGGCTGGTATGCCTTCGCCCTGGCTTTACCCTCTGTCTGACATGCCTTTTCTTCCTTTTTCTTTCATTCAGAGTCCTGTAGTCAGTTTCATCCCAGCTACCCCTACTGGGAAGGCATATCTTGCCCCACTAGGTAAGGTACCAAAGAAATTAAGGACCTCATTCCCCTAACCCAAAGATGTTCATTAATGGGAACTGTTATAATCTATATTGGTTATAATCTGTATTGAGCCAAACCAAGATTCTCATCTTTGTTGAGCTTACATTGTAGCAGGGGAGACAGACTTCAAACAATAATCATCCTATATAATAAAAGGCTAATATGCAAATAGACCGAATGGCGGAACGACCAGTCGCTATGATGCACACTGCCCACCAAGGGGCAGATGCTCAATGCAGGAGCTGCCCCCTGGTTGTCAGTGCACTCCCACAGGGGGAGCCACTCAGCCAGTGCTAAGGATGTCTGACTGCCAGCTTAGGCCTGCTCCCATGGGGCCTAGGCCATCAGTTGGAGATCCCCCGAGGGCTCTGGGACTGCGAGAGGGCGTAGGCTGGGCTGAGGGGCCCCCCCCCAGTGCACAAATTTCATGCACTGGGCCTCTAGTAATGTATAAAGTTATCTAGCGTAGCCCTAGCTGGTTTTGCTCAGTGGATAGGGTGTCAGCCTACGTTCTGAAGGGTCCTGGGTTTGATTCCAGTCAAGGGCACATGCCTGGGTTGCGGGCTTGATCCCCAGTAGGGGGTGTGCAGGAGGCAGCTGATCAATGATTCTCTTTCATCATTGATGTTTCTAGCTCTCTCTCCCTCTCCCTTCCTCTTTGAAATCAATAAAAATATATTTAAAAATAAAATAAAGTTATCTAGTATAACATAAAGTGATAATAAGTGAAATGGAAAAACAAGAAGTAGACCAGGCTGAGGGGTTAGGAGTGCCAGTAAGGGAAGGAAGGTTGCTGTAGTAAGTAGGGTAGTCAGAGAAGGCCACAGAAGTAACATTGGAATAAGAAGTTAAGGAGGTGAAGGAATGAACCATGCAGATAACTAGGGGGTGGGAGAGCATTCCAAGCAGGGGGTACAGGGAGTGCAAAGGTCCTTGGGTGGGGCCACATTTAGTGTTTTTGAGGTACAGCAAGGAAGTCAATGGGGCTTGAGTGGAATGAGCAAGGGAGAGTGGTGGGAGGTGATGTCAGAGAGGTAGGTAATGGGGTCTCATAGGACTAGGTTGTGAGGACATCAGCTTTAACTCTGGATGAGGTGTAAGTCATGGGAAGATTCTGAGCAGAGAAGAATAAAAAGACATGCTATGTTGTTGCTATTTTCTCAATAAATGTTTCTTAACATTAGTAGTGCTGTAAGTGGTATGTGCACAGCATGAATATGTCTTGGTTACATTCCATAGTCTAGCGGAAGAGACAGCCAATAAACGTATAAACTAAGCCCTGGCCGGGGAGCTCAGTTAGTTAGAATGTCATCCTGATATGCCAAGGTTTCAGGTTTGATCCCAGGTCAGGGCATATACAAGAATCAACCAATGAATGTATAAATGAGTGGAACAACAAATTGATCTCTCTCTCTCTCTCTCTCTCTCTCTCTCTCCCTCTCTCAAATTAATAAAAGATATATAAACTAATAATTACAAACTGTGTTAAAGAAAAGCACAGGGTACTATGAGAGAGGTAAGAAATGGGACTTGTAAGGACCTGGCCAGGTGAGGTTATCAGTGTGTGTGGTTGTAAAACTCCAATAGGAAAGCAAGTACCAAGGTAAGGCCCTGAAGTTGGATTGTGCCTGGAACATCGAGGTGACCAGTGTGGCTGGAACAGTGTGAACAGTGTGTGTGTGTGTGTGTGTGTGTGTGTGTGTGTGGGAGGGTAAGAGGTGAGAGGTCAGAGAAATGAGGGGAGGGGCTAGATTGTGTAGGGCCCTGTGAAGCCTTTGGCTTTCAATCTGAGTGAGATTGGAACCCTGGCAGAGCTCTGAGCACAGGAGGAAGGTGGCCCGACTTTTTAAAAAGTATTTTTACTGATTTCAGAGAGGAAGGGAGAGGGAGAGAGAGATAAAAATATCTCTATGATGAGAGAGAATCATTGATTGGCTTCCTCCTGCACGCCCCCCACCGAGGATCGAGCCTGTAACCAGGGCGTGTGCCCTTCACCAGAATCAAACCTGGGACCCTTCAGTCTACAGGCTGATGCTCTATCCACTGAGTGAAACCAACTAGGGCTTAACTTAAGATTTAATGGGGTCTCTCTCAATGCTGTGAATAGAACAGAATGGGAATGGGGGTGGAAATGTAAGATGTCTGGGGGAGATGACAGTGAGTAGTGGGAAGATTATAGATTATATTTTGAAGGTAGAGCCAACAGGATTTTTTTTTGACAAATTAGATGTGAGATGCGTAAGAAACTGCTCCCTGCCCTTTCCATTCTGGCCAAGTGCCAAAAGCTACCTCCATCCACGTGTTGCCACCTCCTTGCCTTTCCCCTCTCATGACATCCACCCTGCCTCTTCTCCCATTCTTCCCCCCCTCATGTATGAGGGAAATCTCACTTTTCTTTTTTCAGGTCGGACAAGCCTTTCCAATGACCCCACTCCATCCCTTTTTTCCTTTTTTGAAATTCCATACCACCTCCCCCACCTGAAGAGTTGGGGAGAGGTGGCAGATGAATCACCTCCTCCCGGATTGGTGAGCTTGTTTGACCGTCATGATTCAAGCCAGTCTACTCTCACCATCTATTGGCCTTATCATAACATATTGACTTACCAATCATTTCTAAGACCATTTCCTTTTCTCTGAAAGGCTCCTATGCTCCGCTAATTCTCCACTACGCTAATCCCTCTGCTATTCCCTCCTTTCATTGGTTGCTCTGCCTGTTTCTCTGTCCCCTTCCTTCCCTTGGAGCTGCACTTCTACCTCTCCCATTGGCTCTTAATTCTTCCCATCTTCAAGCATCACTCTCCTCCTTTTCATTCATTGGATAGGTTTTCCGCTCTTCGCTTGTACCGGTAGCTAGCTGTGCCTCTGTATTGGTTCCTTCAAACTCCCACCCTCACTGGTCTGGCCTGCGTCCACGTAACATTTACTATGGACTCTTATTGGTTCACTGACCCGCCCATCTCATTGCAGGTACCCTCCTTGGCCGCACCGCCCGCCCGTCACTCACCAGACTACATTTGATTGGAGAAGGAGGTGGGCGCACCCTGAGGGCCATAGCCTTGCTGCCCGTAGTCGCCCTGAGGCCCATATCCACCAACGGTGCCCGCAGCGGGCTGCCCGTAATCGGGCTGGTAGCCGCCCTGAGGCCCGTAGGAATCCTGGGGCCCGTACCCGCCAGGGCCCTGCCCATAGCCCGCCTCGCCGTAGGCGTCCCCAGGCGCCGGTTGCTTCTCAGGGGCACCAGGAGGTGCGCGTAGGAATGGGGCGGACCAGCCTGTCTCCTTGAACACAAACCACAGGTTGCCGAACCAGAGCACCAGGTTCAGGAAGCCGAACACCTGCGGGGAGATAAAGCCAGGTTGTCGTCCCACTCCCGTTGCCTTAGCGGCCCCAGGTAACTTCGAGGCAGTGCGCTTCAGGCATGGATCCTCGGGCTAATGAAGGGTGGTGGTTTCAGAAACCCAGACCACCGAGTCCCAGCGCATGAACGTCAATGTGCAGAAAAACCATTTTGGGGGGTGGGGAAGTAGGGCATGTCAGAATTTAGATTCCTGGGCCCGGCCAGCATGGCTCAGTGGTTGGGCATCGACCTACGAACCAGGAGGTCATGGTTCAATTCCCAGTCAGGGCACATGCCCGGGTTGTGGGCTCCATCCCCAGTACAAGGTGTGCAGGAGGCAACTGATTAATGATTCTCTCTCATCATTGATGTTTCTATCTTTCTCTCTCCCTCTCCCTTCCTCTCTGAAATCAGTAATAGAGCATTGGCCTGCGGACGGAAGGGTTCCCGGTTCGATTCCAGTCAAGGGCACATGCCCGGGTTGTGGGCTCCATCCCCAGTACAAGGTGTGCAGGAGGCAACTGATTAATGATTCTCTCTCATCATTGATGTTTCTATCTTTCTCTCTCCCTCTCCCTTCCTCTCTGAAATCAGTAATAGAGCATTGGCCTGCGGACGGAAGGGTTCCCGGTTCGATTCCAGTCAAGGGCACATGCCCGGGTTGTGGGCTCCATCCCCAGTACAAGGTGTGCAGGAGGCAACTGATTAATGATTCTCTCTCATCATTGATGTTTCTATCTTTCTCTCTCCCTCTCCCTTCCTCTCTGAAATCAGTAATAGAGCATTGGCCTGCGGACGGAAGGGTTCCCGGTTCGATTCCAGTCAAGGGCACATGCCCGGGTTGTGGGCTCCATCCCCAGTACAAGGTGTGCAGGAGGCAACTGATTAATGATTCTCTCTCATTGATGTTTCTCTTCCTCTCCCTCTCCCTGTCTGCAATCAATAAAAACATATTTAAAAAAGAATTCAGATTCCTGGGATGTTGGGATCTAGTAATATTGCATACATTTGTTTATATATTTGCACATTTACCTGTTACACATGCACATTTATCTATAATAATAAAAGCGTAATATGCTAATTAGACCTGAAGACCTTCTGGTCGAAGCCTGGGCTGTGATTGAAGCCCGGTCAGAGTGCCAGAGGGAAGCCGGGTGCTGGCAGCTGGGGGAAGGTAGGCCTACTCTTGTATGAATTTCGTGCACTGGGCCTCTAGTATTTGTATAAACTATAGTAAAATCTAAATTTGTGATATAGTAAAATATTAAGCATAAACTTTTTTTTTCTTTATTTTTAAAAAATTTTTTAAAAATATATTTTTATTGATTTCAGAGAGGAAGGGAGAGGGAGAGAGAAAGATAGACACATCAATGATGACAGAGAATCAATTACTAATTGGCTGCCCTCTCTGAAATCAATAAAAATATATTTAAAAAAATAGAAACATCAATGATGAGAGAGAATCATTGATTGGCTGCCTCCTGCACGCCCCCCACTGGGGATTGAGCCCACAAACCGGGCATGTGCCCTTGACTGGAATCGAACCGGGAACCCTTCAGTCCGCAGGCCAATGCTCTATCCACTGAGCCAAACCAGATAGGGCTAAGCATAAACTTTGATTAAATATATAAATGTACCACTAATAGATGGGTAAGTGTGCATATATATGTATACACAAATATATGTATAACTACACATCTATAAAGTATGTAAGCATACTTTTATATTAAAACAAATACATGTTGCCCAGCCAGCATGACTCAGTGGTTGAGCATGGACCTATGAACCAGGAGGTCATGGTTGGATTCCTCGTCAGGGCACATGCTCAGGTTGCCGGGCTCAACCCCTAGTGAGGGATGTGTAGGAGGCAGCTAATCAATGATTCTCTCTCATCGTTGATGTTTCTATCTCTCTCTCTCCCTCTGCCTTCCTCTCTGAAATCAATACAAATACATTTTTTTAAAAGAAAAAAGGTTCCAGAGGGTACTGAGTTGCTGGAGATTTTATATGATGAGGCTGGGGCTGAGATCCAGGTCTCCCAAACTTAATTGTACAGAAGATCTCATGTTCCCCTCTTGAGGACAGTTTGTGGTGTCACAGTAGTTACAATTGCTATCTAATCCTTCAAGGCTCTGTTGTTGGTATGCCTTCTCTGGGTATCTGAACTCTCTTATTCTCTCGCTCCAGCACATCCCATGCCAGACTATAAGTGACCTAGCCTTCCTCCCCAGCCAGCTTGGCCAGCTTCCCAGGGCTCACCACAGAGGTGTTGAGGCCAGAGGTCACAGGGTCTCTTATCTCCTTGCATGTATTCTCCTTCTGGTGGCAGCTAGGTATCCCCTTGATAATGGTCTCTGGGTCTGTGGCCATCTTCACGTCCGACAGCCCCTTGGCCCATGCCGATGAGCAAACCAGCCACATGAAGGCAAACACTGCCGTGGCCAGGAAGTCCTAGGATGGGCAGGGGAGAGGAAGGTGACACTTGTGAGTGGGCTGCTTCATACTGGGTTGTGGGACCTCCTCAGATCACAGGTTTTCTCGGGAGAGGGGAGTCCCCCAGAAGAGGTCTGTCTCTCCTCTACCTTTTCCCCAGCACTCACTTGAAGGTGGCCCTCCTAGCTTGGGCTTGTGGGTGACACAGAGGATGTGAGAGTGTGATTGTTGATATGTGTGTGTGGGTGTGGGGGAATTCTGGGGGATGGTTGTCGAATCTGTGAAAAGTACTGTGTCTTTCCAATTTCGTCTGAATGTGGGAATATGTGTCATTATGTGTCTGGGATGAGGGTATATGAGTACAGCTGTGTAGGAATCAGTGTGTCTGTGTGGCATGACAAGCACGACTGTCACAGTGAACCTCTGTGTGCTCCTTCCTTTGATCTAGACTGTGTGGTTGTGTGAGAGGTAACAGGCTTCAGGTGTAGGCCTGTCTGGGATTCTGTGTGGGCTGTGAGCGTGTCTCTGTCACTATGATTTAGTGTTCAGCACCAGCAGCAGTCGCATGTGTGGCTGTTATGATGGCTGCTTGCATGTGGGCCTGTCTGGGATTTGGTGTGACCCATGAACATGACTGGTTCCCCTGGATCCTGCATACAAGTGGATGTGGGGGCTCACCAGCACTGGTCCTTTGTTGTTTTCTCGGTACTTGTTCTGCATAAAGATGTAGGTGGCCAGAGCCCCCATTGAGTAGAGGAAGGCAAACACAGCCACGGTGACAAAGAATTCCGCTGATGAGGAGTAGTCCCCTAGTAGGAAGACTTTGGAGGTGCCCCCTCTGCAGTCAGGTGCATCAAAGTACACTTGGTGCAGCCTGCATAGAAAGGTAGGCAGGTGTGGCCCAGACTTTAAGAATCCTCTCCTCCCTGCCCAGTCACGAGTCCCCGCGATTGACAAGGTCCCCGGAAGAGGAGGAAATAACCATTCACAGAGCACCTACTGTGTACCAGTCACATTTCATTGGTTGCTCATAGCATCCCATGAAATAAGCTTTATTCATCTCTCATTTTAACAGAGACACCTTGGCCACTTGGTTACTCATAGAACATTCAAGGCACCCTCCCATTCCAGGATCTTTGCACTGGAATGCTCTTCTAGATATGTTTATGTCTTACTCCCTTCATCTCCTTCAAGCTTTGCTCAATTGTTCCCTTCTCAGTGAGGCCTTCCCTCATCTTACTATTTAAAATTTAATTCAACTCTTCCCTCCCAGCACTCCTTAGCCCCCTTCTTTGCTCCATTTTTTCACTGTAGCAGTGATACCCCAACTGACATACCATTTTCCTTGTTTTTATTTTTCCCTGTAATTACAGAAAGGCTGGGTTTTTCCCTTTGTTTTGTTCACTGCTGTGTCTCTAGGGCCTGAAACAGTTACATACCGTAGTATGCACTCAATCATTGCTATTTAATGAAATGTACAGAGGCTCAGTGTAGTACATTAACTTAACTAAAGTCACACAGCTGGAGAGGGAATAGCAGAGTTGTGATCTGAACCATTTATTTCCCCCCTCTATCATATCGATTCTTCTCTCCATCCTACTTCAGGTCCCCAAGAGAAAGAAATGTATGCATTACCTTTCTTCAGAGACTACAAAATAGGAAGAGACAGACTGACAGGAGGGGAGAAGGGATCCTGGAACATGATGTGTGTATTTGAGGGAGGGAGGGGCTGATTGGGAGGGTATGAGGCTAAGGCCTTTCTTGTGGTGTGATGGAGGAGGGGGTCATAGGGAGAAATGTGTGTGGTGGTGAAGTCACGGAGCTCGAACTTCAGATTGGGATGCAGGCTCCTGAGACTGAGCCGGTTGTGTCAGTGCCCTTGTGTAGCAAAGGTCCCAAGGCTTACACTTATTGATCCCCTACTATTTTGCATACATGCCTCATCTAATGATCCTCCTCCTGCAGTTCTCTAAAGCAGGCATTATTATACCCATTTTACAGATGAACAAACAGAGGTTCAGCAAGGTTAAGTCACTTGCTCAAGATTGTGCAGCTGCTAGATGTTGGGAACTAGGAGTTAAATCTGGGTTTGGGTTGTTGGGTTTCTAGTATGCTGGGTTGGGAGTGGGGATGTCCAAGGGGGGATGAAAGGCCCTTGGGGAGGTATTGGGATGGTGGTAAGTTGGTCAGGAGGACCCATGGCACAGAATTTTTCCTGGGAGACTTGTGGGTAAAGGGCAGATCCTCAGGACCCGAGGTCCTAGGCATGGGGGGTTTGGGGGAGTGACTTCAGATTTTTGTGGTCTTCTGACTTCTCAAAGGGCCTGCTCTCAGCACTATCCCATGCTGCCAACTCCCCCTCCTTTCCCAAACTTTCTTCCTTGGCTTCTGTGAACTGTTGTATCCTTGGTTGCCCCCCATCCTCTCAGACCACACCTCCCTGGCACCTCCTTTTCTTTCCACCATTGCTCAGAGCCTGTGCTGGGCTTTCCTGTCTTCACTCTGCCTTCTCACCATGGGTGATCTCCTGAGCCTCCATTTAAGTGCTCATCCCCCTCCAATTTCCAACTCAATTAATGACCTTTTTCCTGACTTCCTTGAACTTATTTATTTTCTTTATGCTAGCAAATACATATGGAGTGCTTATTGTGTGCCTGGCACTGTGCTAAACACTTTATAAGTATTAATTCATTTAATATTCATCATAATCCTGTGATTATTATCCCATTTTGTAGATGAGGAAATTGAGATCCAGAGCAGTTACATGATTTGTCCAAGTAGTGGAGGAGCCTCTGAAGCCTCTATTGAAATTGTGTCTGTGGGTCTCTATCTCCCTGCCAGTCGGGAAGTAAACATTTCCTTGAGCTCAGTAAATATCAGAATTGTTTAATGGAGTTGAATCATTCCCTGGAGCTAAACAGCACCCCCTCATTATTCTCTATCCTAAAACCCTGCATGAGGATCCGTTCCTTGAATTTCTCCCAATCTGCAATTATTCTCTTTATTAATTAATTTGTTATACTGTTGGCTCCATGAGGGTAGGGAGCTAGGTTTGTTTTGTTCACTGTTATGTCCCCAGCACTTCGATCAGTACCTGGCATATATCAGATTCTCAGAAACATGTGTATGAAATGAATGAGTTGGAATTAATATCAGCTAACATTAGTTGTGTGCATACTGTGTGAAGGCTATATATATACTTTTGCTTTTGAACCCTTTTTATTGCCCGTCTCCTGCTCCTCCCTTTCACTAGAGCAGAGTCAGAGGGCAACAGCCTATGCCCGTCTTTTGTTTTTTAAGTGACAGTTTATTAGTGAAGCAGTGGGACAGAGAGGAGGCTACTCCACAGGCAGAGAAGCCTATGCCTGTCTTGCTCACCACATGTCATAGAGGCCTAGAGCAGTGCCTGGCACAAGGTAGGTGCTCAGTGCATGTGTAGTGACCTGACCAGGTACAGTGTCCTGAGGTAAGGTCTGGGCAGGAGCCACTGGGGAGGTGTTGGTAGGTCCCACCCCACCCCCGTCCTCTCCCAGATCTGTTGGGGTCCCAGGGGTGGGCTAGGGTGGGGGCACACCTGAAGGGGTACTCAAATTCAACCTCGATGTTGAGTTGACTGTGGGTCTTGTTGGCACAATCCACGCTCAGCTGGAGCTCTCCACTGTAACTGCCGCATGTGGCAAAGGCGAAGATGGCAAAGACCTTGGGCAGCAAGGATGGGATAGCCATGGTTTGCACCTGGGATGGGGGTGCCCTCCTCTGGACAGATCAGGGCCCAGCACAGGCAACAGCAGATGGACTGGTCCCCGCCCCCACCCCCTAATCAGAGCTCATCAGACCCAAGGACAAGCTGATTAGAGGGGTGTGGCTGTCTCTTCCTGTCTTTCTCCTAATGTCTCTCTCTGTCTGTACCTCTCAATGATCTGACCCCCTCTCTCTTCTCTCTCTCTTCTGTCTCAGTCTCTCTGTTTCTGTGTTTCTCTCTGTATTTCTGTCTGTCTGTGTTCTCTTCGTCTCTATTTCTCTCCGTCTCTATTTCTCTCGGTATCTCTCTCTTTATGTGTTTTTGTCTTTCTCAGATGTCTTTTTGTATCTCTGTTTCTCTGCCTCTCCAGTATCTCTGTCTCTGTCTCCCCCCCCCCGTGTGTGAATGTATGTTTCTCTATATGTCTTTCTGTTTCTCAGTCTGTCTGTCTATATCTCCCTGCTGTCTTTCACTCAGTCTCTGTATAGTGTTCTCTCTGTCTCCCTTGTGCCTCTCTTTCTCTATGTATCGGCCTGTCTTTTTCTCCTTTCTCTGAGTGTCTCTTTTTCTGTCTTTCTCTCCCTCACCCATTTTCAGTCTCCACCTCTCTTCTGTGTCTATTTCTCCTTGCATCTCTGTTCTCTGTGCATCTTTCTCTGTCTCTCTTCTCTTTGTCTCTTTCTGTTTGTCTCTCTCTATCTCTGTATCTCTTTTTTCTCAGTATTTCACTCTCTATCTCCATCATTCCCTGTCTCTCATTCTCTATCTTTTTCACTGTCTCAGGTTTTCTCCTGGCTTTGCATCTCTCCCACAGCAACCAGCTTCAAGCTCCACCTCCCCTGCCTCTCTCTCACCTCAGGAGAGGAGATAAGACGTCACAATCTTCCACTTCACAACGGGGGTACCCTTGGCCTTATGTGACATCACTTCACAGCCCATCCATTCTCTGGCCCCAAGCCCCAGGGACTTTACCCTGGAATACAATACCACTATCCCCTTCTACCCTCAATCCAACCATCCATTTGTTGCTCTCCACCCCAACTGCACCCCTGCTCTTCCAGATCCCACTACCTGCCTCCCTCTCTCTCCCCATGGCCCAGACGACACTCACCCATTGCAGCACTTTCACAAAGCCAAGAGGCTCCTTGACCACCTGGAACTGGCCCCCAGCCACCAGCTGAGGAGAGAAATGGTGGGGAGGGGATGGGGTTGTTGGGGATGGAGAGGGAGGTGAGGGGTGCCACCAGGCGATGACCCCTGGGGATAGGGCATATGACCTCCAAGAGGGATTGAGGACATTCGTTTGGAGAGGGGGTGAGAAGGAGAAAGTGGCACTTCAGGGCAAGTGTGGGCACACCTTCTTTGAGAGAAGACCCTGGGGATATGGGGAGATAGATGGCTGAGGGGGTTGGGTGAGGAAGATGGGGTAAAGTCAGGATGAGTTAGGGAAGGGGAGAAGGTCTGAAATGGTAAAGGTGAGTCAGATGGATAGGGTGGAGCTAGTGAGGAAAGAGTCTGGGTTCGTTAGAGTGGGGGAGGGGGTCCTGAGTGGTGAAGGTGAGTCATAACAGAGAGAGAGTCAGGTTGGCTAGGGTGGGGGAGGGGTCTGCTGCGGTAAACGTGAGTCAGATGGTGGTAATGGGGGGGTCTGAGGTGATAAGGATGGGGAGGGGTTGGTACTGGTTAGAGAGGGGCGAGGTTCTAATGTGTTGAAGAAGAGTGAGATGGCAAAGGGTCTAGGCTGATTAAGATGGGGCAGAGCTGGGACA